GACCTTGTCTAAACTAAGTTACGAACAAATCCATCACAATAACAAGGAAAATACAATACTCGAGCGTTGAAGCTTCGCATCAGTGCTACTCGATTACGACAGGCCAGTCAGGTGAAATCGAGGTATGTAGGGAACACGTGTCAGAGAGGCTGAGGCTTTTCTCTACTCAGTAAACGACACGAGTATTCCTTTGGCAATGTGAAACACAGGACACCCGTCCAAGCTCCTGAAGGATGCTGTTATCAGTCCATTTCCTGGTAATTTAAACAGATTACCGTTAGGGACTATTGTTCGTACTGCTCATGAGTCGTCGTTCTCTATTAACAGGCTAGATAACATGATGAAAGACGTAATTGTTCTTTTAGAGGACAAGTACGGACAGTAACACCAAATGCTTCTGTTCTTCCTCTTGGAACTACTCTGAAACTCTTGTGCCCTGTCAACCCTCACTACCAACTCCTCGTGAAGGGGGTTGATTCAGTGGATATAAAGTCTGCATTAAACTCTGAGGTGCCGTTAAGGATTTTCATTCGTGTCAAAAAGATTCCATATAACTGCTAATAACCTTAGCCGATATATATCTTAAAATTCCAGAAAGATGAACTGCTTCGCACTCAAAACCTGAGTGTTTGCTGAAGGTTCATAAAAGTCGAATTGTAGTAACTCGCGCATGTCAGAATCACTAATATCGATTCCATCAATGACTCGAAGATCTGTTGTCCCATGAAGATAACGAGGCACATTTATAAATGTACTTTAATCCGACACGAATCTAGCATGCACAACCCACTGACCATCAAGATCTTTCTCCTCAATGCTCGAATGGCCTTTTCATGATGTTCTTGGATTGTCAGGGTAACGCCGCATGTGTACATACAATGATATGACGGATCAATGCGTGGTGGTGTCATGACCGACTTATTATATTCAAAAAATAACAGTGCGTGGTGCCTCTTTACAAGCATGGTATACCTAAAGATTGTGTTGCCTCCGAGTGCATCATTCCTTTAAAAATATTTTTTAATATTTAATTTTCAGGAAGGGGGTAACTAACCTTGAGCCAAACTGAAAAGACAGGCTGTTTAGTTTTGAGGCCGATATGATTAAGCTTGCTTTCGGAGTAAATTTTGCTGCTTCTATGATTCATAAGTAAGGCAGGATAAAGGGCAGTTGGTGGCATGTACTGTGTGGCCGGTTTATGTTTTCATCCATACTTCCGCAATGTCCACTTACCATCTTAAAGTTCTTCAGAAAGTTATGAGCATTCAAGTTCAGCTATAAAATGAGTTTCATTAGGTACACGAATAAATAAAATAAATTCAAATTCAAAAATTAACGGTATAATAGTAAACATATGCCGTTCAGAAACAGTGACGTCTGTTTTCCATTCGTATGTGGCGAAAACTGCAAATGAATCTTTAATACAGTTTGTAAATTCGTTTCACTGGTGGCAAACGTGGACAAGCAGTCGCAAACCATACCAGAACAAGAATTTCTTACAAGGTACTAGGTCTTCGTCAGCAGTAGAGATGCTTAGGCTGTTAAGTTTAAAAACTGTTTCAGTTTTCGAAGCAGCTCTTTGAACTTGCTGGACATGTTGCTTTTCAGTGCAATGACGTTACTCTCCGAACCAGAAGCTGATAGAAAAGCTTGTTTCCAAACTTCGAAGATAATGCCACCACTTGAAAGGAATATACAGCAGTTCGCCAGGGCGCAGCACACAGTTGTAGAGGGTGATGTCACGAAATTTTGGAAACTTTTCAAAGTCCGGATGTTCAACGTCTACCTGAAAAGCAAAAATGGGATTCTTACACAAGGCAGTTTAGTTTCTTCGCAGAATCCACTGCTCAATATTACCTGGCAGGTATTGAACAAAAGTGGACTGTCATATGGGTACACTTTGGACGTTTCAAGAGGGGAACACATCGATACGTATTTACTGCCCATCACCTAAACGTAAAACTCGTTACATTGAGCAAACTTAATCGATCGACGGGTTTTACCTGAGCAAAGATGTTGTCCCTCGGATCAGTATGCAAGGGAGAAACTGTTCCACTTGGACCAAACCATGCATTGATGTCAACATCGTCCGGAGAACTCAGAAGACAACAGTAGTCTGGTATATTGATATCTTCAGCAAGGTCAACGATCTAAAGCTATAATCAGATATAGGCAGTAGCACAGAGGCAAAATGTTACAAGACTCATCTACAACAATGACGGTCTCTTATCTACAAGATCATAAACCCAGTGCCTGTGTAAATACCCTGAAGAAATACGGACCAAAACAGCGGTACACGACAAGGCGAAGTCAAATCCAGTACTGATGGGTTAGACGCTTATCAAAACAATAGTTAACTCATAACTGTTCCAAGGCCAAATTTTACGGCATGCCCCTTGGCTCGTAGTGGAGCCATTTTAGCAGGCAACGACTTCGAGGATTTGAACATCTGCAGTGCCAGATGCGTCTTGCATCATCTGTTCCGCTAAGGCAATCTGACACTCGTAATAAACGATGTACTAAAACTGGTACACGTCACATGTTTGCCACGCAACTTACCTTATTTAAATGCCCCCATGCATCTGGGAGCAAGTGGCAGTGCATAACGCGTGAAATCTAATCTTGGGATAGCTAATGCGTCATCCAATATACTCTGGCGTATGAACATACTCTTAGTAAGGCAGTAGTATATCAAAAAACAAAATATAATCAGTTGTTAAACATCACCCGCGAAGTGACAGGAAACACTGAAGCAGATGAATTGCGATTACGCGATTATCGACTGATGGTGCATTACAATGACGATGCTTTTACATTATAATCTTGTTTTGGCGTATCGTAAATGTCC